AAAAAAGAAAAAACAAAAAAAAACAAACTATAACCCTGTTCTGGGCACACTTTCTCAGGACCTCTAGTGTCTCTCTAGACTATAGTCACTCATATTCATCTCAGAATAAACCTCTTTAAATTATCTTACAGAAGCTTGAGCAACATAGCCAGACCCCATCTATATATAAAAAATACACAAATTTTTTTTGAGATAGAGTCTCAAGCTGTCGCCCTGGGTAGAATGCCGTGGTCTCATAGCTCACAGCAACCTCCAACTAGGGCTCAAGAGATCCTTTTGCCTCAGTTTTTCTATTTTTAGTAAAGATAGGATCTCGATTTTTGCTCAAGCTGGTCTTGAACTCGTGAACTCAAGTAATCCACCCGCCTTGGCCTCCAAGAGCGCTAGGATTATAGGCGTGAGCGACTGCGCCTGGCCTATATAAAATTTTTTTAAAAAATTAGCTGAGGTCTATGTGTAATGGCTCATGTCTATACTCCTAGCACTTTGGAAGGCTGATACAAGAGGATCAAATAAGGCCATCAGTTAAAGGCTTCAAGGCCAGCCTGGGCAATATAATGAGATGCTGCCTCTACAGAAAAATAGAAAAATTAGTCAGAAGTGGTGGCCCATACCTGAAGTTCCAGCTACTCAGAAGGCTAAGGCAGGAATACTGCTTGAGCCCAAGAGCTTGAGATTGCAATGAGCTGTGATCACACCATTGCACTCTAGACTGGGCAACAACAACAACCAAAAAACACAATTAGCTGGGCAAGGTCATGTACATCTGTACTCCTGGCTACTTGAGAGGAAGTACTGAGCAGGAGGATTGTTTGCGCTCAAGAGTTTGAGCTGCAATGAGCCATGATTGCACTCTAGCTTGGGTGAGACAGTGAGATCCTATTTCAAAAACACACATATATATACATATATATATATGCAGAGATAGATAGATACAGAGATATTTTGATCTTCAGTTGGCTGAATCTGTGGATATGGAACACGAACACAGAAAGGGCTATTTTTTTTTTTTTTTTTT